GATAGACAACCTTGGGGAGTGGGTGTGGGGTGGTTAGGGGGAACAGTGGGGAGCATTGGAGGATGGGAGGGCAAGAGAACAGGGAAACTGTTTCATAAAATAAGATGGTTTCTAAAATTAAATAGAGGAAAAAAAGAAAAAGAAAGAAATGCAAGCCAGGTGTTGGTGGTGCAGTCGGGAGGCAGAGGCAGACGATCTCTGTGAGTTTGAGGACAGCCTCATCTACAGACGAGTTTCAGGACAGGCTCTAAAACAATACAGAGAAACCCTGTCTCAGAAAAAAGCACAATTTTCTGGATAGGAACCACATACCAAAATTAAAATCAGATCCAAGACAAGGAAGGTTCCCACCTGAGAGTAGCTGGCATTTGCTGCCATCAGATAGAGCATGACTCCATCCTGGCCAGTGACAAGTCCATCCAGAGTCCCACCCTCCACCCGGTGCTGAGCCTATGTGGAAGCATCATAGAGCCATCCCTTGGCAAGTTTCCTAAGAAGCACAACTGTGAAAAGACCACGCACTGCTGCCCACAAATGCTGCCCACACCTGTACCCCTGTGTGCCCAATGCCTTAAGAAGAAGTGTGGCCACACCAACAACTTGCATCCCAAGAAAACCAAACACTGGTGGAGCACTGTTTAACCCAGGATCCCTGGGACCCAGCGTAATTTTTTACTGAAGCAGAAGTACTAACGAAACATGACGCTAAGATTGGGAAATGACATGAGTAAGTGTATAAGCGCTGCTGCCAACCTTCAGCCCTGACTCTGATCATATTATACAAGGAGAAAACTGCCTTCTGTAGTTGTCCTCTGACCTCCATGCATGTGCTGTGACATATGTGAATGTACACATGCAAAAATAAATGTAATTTATTATTATTACATAAGTGTATACAGGAATAAGTGTAATTTAAAGTTGCAATGGAAAGTACACACATCAAAAAGGAACAAAGAAATAGAAAAATTAGTGCAAAAGTGGTTTTGTTTTTTTTGTGTTTTTTAATTTATTTTTATTTAAATTAGAAACAAGCCTGCTTCACATGTCAATCCCAGCTTCCTCTCCCTCCCCTCCTCTCCTGCCCACCACCAACCCCCCACCCCATCCTCCCTCTGCTACTCAGGGAGGGTGAGGCCCTCCATGGGGATCCCCAAAGTCTGTCATATCATGCTGGGCAGGGCCTAGTCCTTCCCCCATGCGTCTAGGCTGAGAGAGCATCCCTCTAGGTGGAATGGGCCCCCTAAGTCCATTCATACACCAGGAATAAATACTGGTCTACTACCAGAGGTCCCATATTTTGCCGAGGCCTCCTCACTGACACCCACATTCAGGGGGTCTGGAACAGTCCTATCCTGGTTTCCTAGCTATCAGTCTGAGGTCCATGAGCTCCCCCATGTTCAGGTCAGCTGTTTCTGCAGGTTTCACTAGCTTGGCCTTGACCTCTTTGCTCTTCACTCCTCCCTCTTTGCAACTAGATTCCAGAGTTCATTTCAGTGTTTAGCTGTGGGTGTCCACCTCTGCTGACATCAGCCACTGGATGAAGGTTCTAGGGTGGCATATAAGGTAGTCATCAATCTCATTATCAGGAGAGGGCATTTAAGGTAGCCTTTTCACTATTGCTTAGATTGCCAGTTGGTGTCATCCTTGTAGATCTCTGGAATTCTCCCTAGTGCCAGATCGCTCCTCAAGTCTATAATGGCTCCCTCTATTCTGGTATCTCTCCTCCTGCTCTTCTCTATTCTTGCCCTGACTCAAACTTCCTGCTTCCCCATTTCCTCCCTTCCCCTCCTCTTCTCCCCCTCTCTTTCTCCCAGCTCCCTCTCCCCTCCCCCAATGCTCCCAATTAGCTCAGGAGATCCTATCCCCTTCCTCTTCTCCAGGGTACCATGCAAGTCTCTCTTAGGGTACTCCCTGGTTCCCAGCCTTTCTGGATGTGTGGATTGTAGGCTGGTGATCCCCTGATTCATATCTAAAATCATATATGAGTGACTACATACTATTCAAACATCACCATCTACAATAGCCACAAACAACATAAAATATCCAGAGGTAACACTAACCGAACAAGTAAAAGACCTGTATAGAAAGAACTTTGAGACGTTAAAGACAGAAACTAAAGAAGATACCAGAAAGTGGAAAAATCTCCCATGTTCTTGGGTAGGTAGGAACAATGTAGTAAAAATGGAAATCTTACCAAAGGCAATCTACAGATTGAATGCAATCCCCCATCAAAGACAGGAACAATTTATCACTGACCTTGAAAGAGCAATAGTCAACTTTTATATGGAAAAACAAAAGACCCAGAATAGCCAAAACAATTCCTGTACAATAAAGGAAATCCCAGAGACCTCATCATCATGGACTTCAAGCTCCATTATAGAGCTATAGTCCTGAAAACAGCTTTCACTGACCTTGAGTCAACTTTTATATGGAAAAACAAAAGACCCACAATAGCCAAAACAACCCTGTACCATACAGGAAATCCCAGAGACCTCATCATCATGGACTTCAAGCTCCATTATAGAGCTATAGTCCTGAAAACAGCTTGGTATTGGCACAAAAATAGACAGGTAGACCAAAGGAATCAAAATGAAAACCCTGATATTAACCCACACACCTACAAGCACCTGATTTTTGACAAAGATCCTAAAAAACTATACAATGGAAAAAATAAAGCATCTTCAACAAATGATGCTGGAATTACTGGATGCCAGCATGTAGAAGACTGCACATAGACCCATATATATCACCATGCAAAAAAAACCCTAACCCTAACCCTAACCCTAACCCTAACCCTAACCCTAACCCTAACCCTAACTTCAACATAAATCCAGCTACATTGAACCTCTTAGAAGAGAATGTATGAAATACCCTTGAATCAATTGGTACAGGAGACCACTTCCTGAATATAACACCAATAGCACAAACACTGTGACCAACAATTAATAAATGGGACCTCCTGAAACTGAGAAGCTTCTGTAAGACATAAATCCAGCTACATTGAACCTCTTAGAAGAGAATTATGAAATACCCTTGAATCAATTGGTACAGGAGACAACTTCCTGAATATAACACCAATAGCACAAACACTGAGACCAACAATTAATAAATGGGACCTCCTGAAACTGAGAAGCTTCTGTAAGGCAAAGAACACAGTCAGTAAGACAAAACGAAAGCCCAAGGATTGGGAAAAGATATTCACCAACCCCCCATCTGAAAGAGAGCTGATCTCCAAAATATACAAAGAACTCAAGAAGCTTAGCTCCAAAACGCCAACTAATCCAATTAAAAAGTGGGATACAGAGCTAAATAGACAATTCTCAGTAAAGGAATCTAAAATGGCTGAAAGACATTTAAGAAAGTGTTCAACATCCATAGCTATCAGGGAAATGCAAATTAAAACAACTCTGAGATATCATCTTACTCATGTCAGAATGACTAAAATCAAAAACACCAATGACAGTTTATGCTAGAGAGGATGTGGAGAAAGGGGTACACTCCTTCACTGTTGGTGGAGTGCCAACTTGTACAGCCACTGTGGAAATCAGTATGGCAACTCCTCAAGAAAATGGGAATCAGTCTACCACATGATGCAGCAATTCCACTCTTAGGCATGAACCCAAAAGAAGCAATTCATACAACAAGGACATCTGTTCAACCATGTTCATATCAGCATTATTTGTAATAGACAGATCCTAGATGCCCCTCAACAGAAAAACAAATAGAGAAAAATGTGGTACATTTACACAATGGAGTACTACACAGAGGAAAGAAAATGGAATCTTAAAATTCGCAGACAAATGGGTGGCACTAGAAGATACCATCCTGAGCGAGGTAACTGAGTCACAAAAAGTGATTTCATTTTTTTAAAGAAATATTTATTAATATGTATAGTGTTTTGCCTGGATGTACAAATGCACACCAGAAGAGGGCACCAGACCTCATTCAAGGTGGTTGAGAGCCACCATGTGGTTGCTGGGAATTGGATTCAGAACCTCTGGAAGAGCATCCGGTGCTCATAACCTCTGAGCCGTCTCTCCAGGCCCTAGTGCACACTTGTCACTCAGCACCTGAGACTCTGAGGAAGTGGATTATACATTTTATTCCATGCAGATGTGCACAGTGAGACCCTGAACAGAAACCTTCAAACATTTTGAATATGAAGAAGTATTTCACATAAAAACTTGAAAGGGCTGGGCGGTGGTGGTACACGCTTTTAATCTGAGGACTCAGGGAGCAGAGGCAGGCCACCATGTGTTTGCTGGGAATTGGATTCAGACCTCTGGAAGAGCAGCCAGTGCTCATAACCTCTGAGCCGTCTCTCCAGTCCCTAGTACACACTTGTCACTCAGCACCTGAGACTCTAAGGAAGTGGATTATACATTTTATTCCATGCAGATGTGCACAGTGAGACCCTGAACAGAAACCTTGCAACATTTTGAATATGAAGAAGTATTTCACATAAAAACTTGAAAGGGCTGGGCGGTGGTGGTACACGCTTTTAATCTGAGGACTCAGGGAGCAGAGGCAGGCGATGTCATCTGAGAATGGCTGCCCTGGGTCCTAGCTGATCTTTTCCTTTCAGGAACTCTCCCTAAGCCTATCCTCAGAGTAAAGCCAGACTCTGTGGTCTCTGAGCAGACTACAGTGACCTTCTTGTGTGAGGAAACCGCGGGAGCCCAAGGATACCGTCTGTATAAACTCGGAATTTTCCAGGACAAGGAAATTCCACCGAATCCTAACAACAAGCCTGAATTCACAATCTCAAAAATAGGCCCAAATGAAGCAGGGAAATATTTCTGTCAATATCGGATTGGTAAAAACTGGTCAGAGTACAGTGACTCCCTGGAGCTGGTGGTGACAGGTGAGAGGACTCACAAGGCCCACAGCCTAAGGTTTGTCTGTCAAGAAGTGTTCTGTAAACAGGGATGACTCCCCTCAAAGCCTTGGGGGATAATGAGATCTTTGCGGACATTTAACTGATTCTTCTCCTCTCCTAGGGGTCTACAGTAAACCCAGCCTGTCAGCCCATCCCAGCCCTGTGGTGACTGAAGAAGGGAATGTCACCCTCCAGTGTGTCTCAAGGAAACCATATCACAAGTTAATTCTGACCAAGGAAGGGACAAAGAAGCACTCCTGGATACTGGACTCAGAGTATGACCACTCTACTCGGCAGTACCAGGCCCTGTTTGTTGTGGGTCCTGTGACCTCCAGCCAAAAGTGGACATTCAGATGCTACAGCTTTGACCGTAATAGACAACTTGTGTGGTCAGAACCTAGTGACCCCCTGGAGCTCCTGGTCTCAGGTGAGAAAATCCAGCTTTCCCTAGAATCATGCTGAACTGACACAGGTGCTGAGGGAGGTCTTTGTGTGTGAGGTGTGAGGAGCCAGGGCTCCTGGGCCCATTGACACAGATTGTGGGAGACAGAGGGACACAAGATACAGAATCCAAGGGACACAGTGACATGAGAGTATAGGAGATTCAGGAAAGGGAGGAATCTTCATGGGGCCCTCTGTTTCTCTCTGTTACTCTCTGTTACTCTCTTACTCTCTGTTATTCCCTGTTATCCTCTGTTAACCTCTGTTGCTCTCTGTTACTCTGGATCAGCTTAAATAACATCGAGCAGGGCTCGGGGAACTCCACAGAAAAGAGAGAGAGGAAGGGTCGTAGGATTCAGAGCACTCAGGACACCATTAGAACACAGCCCACAGGATCAACTCAGCAGGGATCATGAGGGTTCACAGAGACTGAAGCAGCCACCAAGGCTCATGCTTGGGTCTTCCCTAAGCCCTCTGCACACAGGCTGGGCTGATTTACCCTGGGGCCTTTTATGTTTTGATTTTTAGAGGTTCACTCTGTAGACCAGGGTGGCCTTGAACTCACAGAAACCAGCCTGCATTTGCTTTCTGAATGTTGGAATTAAAGACATACATCACCACTGCCTGACTAGCTTGGAGTTTTTGTTAGAATCATAACAACAGGAGTCTGGAAGTCTCTGACTCTTTTGCCTGCACAGGAGATCTTTTTCCTCCTATTGGGTTGCCTTCTCCAGCCTTAACAGGAGGGTGTTTGCCTAGTCTTGCTGCATGTTGTTATGACATGTTCCATTAATGTCACTGGAATTCTGTTCTGAAGGGAAATAGAGGAGCTGTGGGCCTGGGGGGAGGAACGGAGAGGGAGTTGCTGGCAGAATGTATTGTTTGACAGAACCATAAATTAAATAAAAAAAAGTGCATTCCGCAAGTGTGAGTATCCTGTGTCACTTTCAGACAGACCCACCCCTTCTCTCCTATTTCCTTGCAGGGACCCTTCACAAACCCACCATCAAGGCTGAGCCAGGCCCTGTGGTCGCCTTAGGAAGCCCCATGAACATCTCTTGCCAGGGGACCCTGGAGGCAAAAATGTGTTTTCTGCATAAAGAGGGAAGCCAAAATCCCTGGGGTACACAGACCCCAAAAGAGCCTGAGAACAAGTCCATATTCTCGATTTCTTCTGTAACAGAAGACACTGGGGGGCAATATCGCTGTTACTGTTACAGCTCAGCTGGCTGGTCAGAACCCAGTGACACCCTGGAACTGGGGGTGACAGGTGAGGGAACAGACAGAGTCCCACCATGAGGATCTACTCTCAGGAGTATTTCCTTCCAAAGCCTAGCCCTGGAGAGCATTGTGGCTGTGAGAGCCCATGTAACAGACTGCTTCTTTTGTCCTAGGAATCTCTTACAGTAAACTCAGTATGTCAGCACTGCCCAGCCCTGTGGTCACCTCAGGAGGGAACATGACTCTCCAGTGTGTCTCACAGGAGAGCTATGACAAGTTCATCCTCACCAAGGAAGATCAGAAATTCTCCAGCTCCCTGACCTCACAGTATATCAACAGTACTATGCAGTACCAAGCCTTATTCTCTATAGATCATGTAACAGCAGACCACACAGGGACATTCCGATGCTATGGTTACTACAACCAAACCCCACAGCTGTGGTCAGTACCCAGTGAGTCCCTGGAAATACACATCTCAGGTCAGTCAGCCCCATCTCTGACCAATCTTTTTTGACACCCTAAGCCCTTTGTCATGACCCTGTCCCACTGGGTAGTTACAGATAAAGAGTAAAAAAGAAAGATCCTGATTGCTGTGCCAGAGCCCCACTCCTGGGGAGAAGCAGTGACATGCGCAGGGCATGATGGGAAGGAATAGGTGTTTGGTAAAAACCATCTCCTCAATCACTGTCCTGTCACCTTCCCTCCAGGCCTGTCCAAGAAGCCCTCTCTGCTGAGTCACCAAGGCCATATCCTGGACCCTGGAGAGAGCCTCACCCTGCAGTGTTGCTCTGACATCAACTATGACAGATTTGCTCTGTACAAGGTGGGGGAAGACATCTTCACCAAGCGGTATGGCCAGAGGACCCAGGCTGGCCTCTCCTTAGCCAACTTCACACTGGGCTATGTGAGCCGCTCTACTGGAGGCCAATACAGATGCTATGGTGCACACAAGCTCTCCTCTGAGTGGTCAGCCTCCAGTGATCCCCTGGACATCATGATCACAGGTGAGGA